GTTTAACACCATGGGTGTGGCTGAGGTTAGGCTGCTTTTGTCAATATGTGGCCAGGCCCCTATGTACAAACAGGAGTGCTGTGCCTGCTCTGTTTCTCCAGAAAAATTTAGTTATTGGAGAGAAAATTGACATACTCTTTCAGACTTTGTTATTCATTTCCAATGGATGCAGGGGGCTTGCTTTTGGTCTTGTCTTTCCAGAACATTCGGCAAGGCAGCTTAAGCACTGTGTTCCTTTTTTCCCACTGACCCCAGCAGTCCCTGGGGTCAGTGGGAATCTCTCTGCTTCCTCTTGAGACTGAGCTGCTTTTCTCTGTCCCGTGTGTCACAGGGAGGTGTCTGGTGCAGCCCAGCCATCCACCTGGAGATCACAAACTGAGTGAAAGATTTCCTTCTCCCCTTGCTCTATATTTTGACTGTGTGGCTCGATGACATCCAGCAGGGCCCTTCCACCACTCTGGTATGTGTGCCAAGGTTGGCAGTACTCAACTGCCCTTCTTCTGGCTGGGTTTCGAACCACAAAATCTCAGCGGTTCTTCAGTTTCCCGGCTTTTGGCAAATCTTTTACCAGATGCTTAGCTTTGCCTTGATTTCCCCACAGAGAAGAAATGGAGAACTTCCTCCCCACGATAAGATATTTTGTCTTTCTGGGGTATGGCCTGTTACATCATATCTCAAAAAACTGTCTAAGAGTGTCTTCTGATATTCTCCCTCCTTTTAGCTGAGATCTGTTCTCACGCTGCAGGCAAAGCACTGGGAACAGCCCTGATGTAGGAAGAGGGTCACATTGACCTGTGGCTAACTTAAGACTGGAGCTTTTGCAGCTCTCTATATAAATTTGAGAATCCCAGGCCAGCATGTAAACTCTTTATTGGTTTATTGGTGTATTTTACTCTCCGTAATACTTCGTCCTGAAGCAGTTTTGGACTCTGTGAAAACAGTCTGGTCAATGATTCTCCAACAGTAATCCCACAGTCCCTTGTTCCTCATATGTCTTCTTTGTCCCCTGCCTTCCTCTTCCTTCCCTACTGCTGCCTAGCAGTCAGGTTGCACTATTTCACACTTCATTTCCCAGCGAACCTTTTGTTCCCCTGCAAACTTTCCCAAATCAGCCCTTCTTCTGCCAGCACTGCTGTCCCTTCCCACTAACAACCACTGCATGAGCAATGGTAATCATCATTACCTGCAGGCGCTTTTCTTGTTCCTCCTGTCTGTCCTGGTCCCAGCTCACAGCCACGTGCTAAGTGACTGTTTTCTCTCCTCCTAGCCCTCTTCCAGCAGAGGTGCTGAGTGATGCACACACACACACACAAACTTTACACACTATTTTGAATGCAGGTACATTGGTCACAGACCACATGAAGCACAAGGAGCTGGAGAAAGATTAGCTCACCTGCATGCCATGGGACCTTTCTCTTCCAGTTCCGATATGCCTGGCTCAGCTGGTGGTCAAGCTGGGCGCTGTTGGCTACGAGTGAACTGCCTTCCTCCCTCCCCCAAGTCCAGTGTAGGGAGTTTTCTTTTCCCAGTTCACTGTTGGCTTAATGGCAAATGTCAGAGCATTACTTGTCCTCCCCTCCCCACTTCCTATAGAGAAGAGAGAGGAGATGGTTTCTTCTCCAGTGCCTCATGCTACAGTGTATTCATTAACTAAATGATCACACAAGTTTAACCCCAGACATGTGTTCCCAGCCTGCCAGAGTGGTGACACTGTCTGTGCCAACACACGGTGATCCCTGCTCCCACTGATGCTCCACAATGCAACAATTCCCTAAGAGCAGCTCTGCAGTGTCAGTGATGCATTGAACTCCATGTACCCAGCTGACTCGTCAGGCTGCAATGTATGTACAGCGTGCTGCAGTGTGTGTAGTTTTCTGCAGGTTTGGCCTGCTGGCTG